AAATTCATTTTTAGTCGTCTTCTGAATAGGCTATACTGTACAATAGAAGTAAATGTTGACCAAATAAGTCACCATTTAAAGCAAGATTTCAGTGGATAGAAACCAAAATTTTGCTTCTTTCCTCAAAGTGATTGTATGGCTTTTAAAGACTTAAAAATGAGGACTATTTTATTGTTTATGTTTTTAGAGCGTGACAGCCCCAGTCCCCATCCACTTTTATTGTATAAAGCAGTGTTTCTCAACCAGGGGTCCGTGGACCCCTAGACGTGAGAAATCCCCGACAGTAAACTGCCTCGTCCTGTTTATTAGGTACTGACACAGAGTTCAAATGTCCTGTGTAGACAGACTCAACCTGTTGCGACGCGGCGGTGTCATGTCCGGTGTAGACACGGTTCACTGTTTCGCCGCCAAGCAAGCAGGCACATTAACTCCTCATCTGCACGCGCTCTCTGTGGAATAGGAATCGTTGCCACATTTCTTGTTAACATCTTCCATTTATCGCTGTCTCGTTTGTATTTGGCCAGTTTGGAGAAAGCCTCACCAAACCTGACCAGCCAGGCATTTGCGATCACGGGAACTTGAAGACACTTGTACAAGCGCAGATGGGTGACATGAATGGAGATGGCTCCAGATCGGCGATGTAGTATTTGGTTTCCCAACAAGGTCCATCGCTCAATATGAGATTAATTTGCTGAATGCAGAATAAACTGTATGTTCCTGCGCTCAAACCTGCCAAACTAAAGGAAACGCTGTGTATGGCGTTTGAGGTAATTTGTGAATTAGGCTACCATAGACTTATAGTCTAAATAAAATTTGTATTTTGCTTGTTATAGAGTGCGTGACGTCACGTGCAATATTGCCGTTGGCCGTAGACAACCGCGGTGGTTGTCACGGCGACCGTCACAGCCCTACTCCTCCACAGTGAATAAATTGTCATCTGAATACATGAGTTTATCAATGAGGTGTCAAATTCATTTTTAGTCGTCTTCTGAATAGGCTATACTGTACAATAGAAGTAAATGTTGACCAAATAAGTCACCATTTAAAGCAAGATTTCAGTGGATAGAAACCAAAATTTTGCTTCTTTCCTCAAAGTGATTGTATGGCTTTTAAAGACTTAAAAATGAGGACTATTTTATTGTTTATGTTTTTAGAGCGTGACAGCCCCAGTCCCCATCCACTTTTATTGTATAAAGCAGTGTTTCTCAACCAGGGGTCCGTGGACCCCTAGTGGTCCTTGACGTAAGGCCAGGGGGTCCGTATAAAGTATGAATTTTTGTATAAATTTTGTATATTTTGACATGACATGTTCCCATGAAAGAAAAATCCAATATAGCTGATGATATGGCCAAATACTGGACAAGTCAACTAACTTGAATTATACTTGACTACATTTGGTCCTCACAAAGATACAAATGATACATGGATGAGTCAATTTTGTTCTGGGGGTCCTTGAGGATGGTTCTGAATTGGACTGGGGTCCGGTATGCCAAAAGGTTGAGATTCACTGGTATAAAGAGTGCAGCATGAACATTTTTCAAAACATTTTTTTTCCTTTTTGCTCTAAACAATAAAAATGTCATACAGGTAATGAAATGAGGGTTAAAAAATGTATACAGAACTTTCAATTTTGGTTGAACAATCACTTCAAGGGCCGTCCACCAATAAGGAGGCAGCATCACCATTTAAAGTACTTTATGTCATGAGCTACTCTCTCATAACCCATAATCCTCTCAAATCCTTTGTTAATCATAGGAGACTAATTATTGTGATTAGTTGCAGCAGTCCCACCGAGCGTCACCAATGTTTTGGTAATAACCTGCTTAAAAACATTTTTACACACACACAATCGACGGGAACACACATCAGCCGGACAAGCAGATGAAAAGGCCTGTTAGGCCAGCGAATATATGAACAGGCAAGTCCGATGAAAGATGATAGGCCAGCTGAGCATTAACTAATGCAGAACAAATGTTCTCTTGGCTTCATTGTCAAAGGGTTGCGTCACACACTAGCCATGCGCTTGAATCACCAAGCACCTCCGCAGTCAGAATATGAGCCGTTTGGATGCAGTGATATGCGAGCGTATCAGTATACGAGTATCATGGAGTCCCACAGCACTCGGCTCTATGATTGTGCTTTCTCAAGTTTTGAGCTTAAGCCGCCAGATCTTTTTCTTTCTCTTCACACACAATAAAACGATCTAATTCCCCTCTCTGGTCCAGAGCCACCCATTCATAGATGGATTCAGAGGCCCGTACGACATGTTCCACGTCGGTTTGTGTTTGGGGAGTGCGCTTAGTAACTGTGAGCATAATAGATACAAAAGAAACATCGATATACACTTACCCATGCACATCTGTCAGCAGATCGCTTTGCGAATTTGCCTCGATATATCAGTTTTCACTTAAGGCGTGTTTGTAGATGAGGCCAGACAACTTGTACAAAGAATTAGGGCTGAGCGATATGAGCCAAAAATCATATCTCTGTATTTTTAGGATGATGGCAAATTACGATATAAATATTGGTATTTTCTGCAGTTTGGTACTTGCAACATGTTCATGGCATTCTATCTAGATTAAATGGTTTTGCTGCTTAATGGCTTAAATGCTGCTTAAATGATCTTTTAAATTTGGATGATCTCCAAATGATTAAACTAGGGCTGCAATTCAATTAATTCATATTTTAAAGGGCAATTTTTTCATTTCTGTATGTATTTAAAAAAATTATGATTCAATATCCTGCCCAATGTTGTCCCCCAAACAATAAAAACTGAAGATTGTTAAAGCATTAAAATCACTAAATTGAAATGAAGATAAAAACAAAAGCATAGACTAAATTTTAACTCGGAGGAACACATTTTCACTCATCTAAATATAATAATTACATTAAACTAGTCTTTTACAGCTACTGCTCTCATGCAATTGCTTGTGCCACATTTAGATTTTTAAATCACCAACAAATATTTCAGTAAAATGTATAAAAAATGTATATTTTAGTCAGAATTATTGTGCTCCCTTTCTGTTGTGCTTGTTTGACGTGAAGTCTGTGAAGTTTAGCATAGACTTGCTTGCTGTCAGGACAAGCCTTTATGCAAAATGGAAATACTCATGTGACTTTCTTTCATTTAGAGGTGAGAATATACCTGTGAAACTTAAGTTATGCACTGAGGAAAACACGTCTCAAACAGCACACCATATCTGTTAGCACACGTATCTGTCAGAGCACCTGACAGGGAAAACTGAGCTAAATTGTATTCTCATGAGCTAGTTTGAAGTCCTTAAAGCATGTCTCGTGTTAAGGACAATTCAGGTCTTGCGGTTTTCCTGCAGCTGCTCACTCTGTGCACTTACTTTTTTCAGATGCACTCACAACATCAAAACTACTGTATATCTGTATTATTTTTGATAATATATCAGTGAAAATAGTCGCTATAAAAAGAATCCTGGATCAGTGGCTTTTTTTGGACTCTTAGTCTGACCTTATTGACCTGTGACAACAGCAAAACAGAGACTAAGTTCGGATACCGATTTGCTGTGTTGCCAAATCCCTAATTTGCTTGTACATGTTGACTTCCTTTGTCTAATCTCATCTGTTGTGTTTAGACTTGTGTGTCAATTTCAGTACAGTCTGCATACACAATTAAGTCTAAATGCACAGTTAAAATGCTGTAAGCGATGACATGTTTACATCAAGTGAGCCTTTAAGTGGTCCAGCTCATCAGAATCCGTGACCTATGGACCCACGATCATTGTTTTTTTCAATATCCTACCACCTAATCCAGATTATCGAGGCAGTCAAGGCCTTGTGATTTACACAGGTTTTAAGACACATTGTTGCTGCCAAAGAAGTGAAAGAGCAGCCTAGCGGTGCACGTGAGCTCCTGGGTTTGCACAGAGTATGTGGTAAAGGGAGAGATGGGATTACGGACCTCCTAATCGGAGTTGTTTCCTGGAAAGTGTGCTCGCTGTCTCCAGTGAGCCGGCGATGCTCCGGAGAGCTCATGGGAAGCGTGTCACATGGGACAGACAGCTAAAAGAGGAGGGGGATGCACACACATCTGACACTCAGTTTCAGAGTAGAATGTAGACCAGAGTTATTATACTGGAGTATTTATTTATTTATTACTTTTTAAATTAATTGATTACTTTTTGGGGGGAAAATCACTCAAAATAAATTTATAAAAAATACAGCTGACTGAATCCACTATATTGAGATTTGCCAACGTTTGTGAGGGTCATGCCATTATTTTTGCGTGGAATTATATTTTAGTACATTGATATACGATTACTTTTTTATTTGTAAACTCTAATTTAGTGACCTTATTGATGAAAATGCTATCAAGATCAAAACAAATAAAATATATAAATTATAAATAAATATAAGATGTATCAATTATAAATATATACAGTGTGTGTGTGTGTATATATATATATATATATATACTGTATATATAAATGAATGAGTTTATAGTTTGTATCGAGCCCCATAAAAAATATGGGATCGGAGGAATTAATACATTGATATAAGATTACTTTTATTTGTAAACTCTCAATTTTAGTGACCATGGTGGTGAAAATGCTATGAAGATAAAAACAAAGAAAATATATAAGTTATAAATAAGCATCAAATTTATCAATAATAACTAAGTAAGCAAGTTTATAGTTTGTATTGAGCATTCATAAAAAATATGGGATCGGAGGAACAATTATCTCATAGCTTTTACCTCCCAGAGAACATTTTTGTTTACTCACAAAAGTTGTGCACTCCCCCGAGAAACTTTGCATTCGCTCTGAAAAGTTTTGCATTTCCCATGAATCTTTGTGTTAGGTCGCAAAACTTTTGCATTTCCACAGGAAACGTTCCACTACTCACAAAGTTTTGTGAATGAAAGCAACACTTACTGTTTGATATCAGATTCTTTTTCATCACTGTATGTTCATGCAGCATTCTGCATTGATTAGAGCACATGCTCATTTTGATCCTCTCTTTTTTCGCAGACCTCATCACTTATTGCTGCATTATCACTGGCCGTCTGAGTTGGAGAGTGAGGCGGGCTTGGTTTGCGAGCGTCGCTCCGCAGAGCCGTCCGATGACTATCTGACTATCTATCACAACCCGCGAATGACAGGCGTGCATTCGAAGGTGGGGCCCGCCTCAGTCTCACATGATTGGCTGCTGGATGGAAATAAGGTGAATGGAACACATGCCCAAGGAGCAGGACCCAAACCAATCAGAGGGAGAAGAGAAACGGTGAGCCTGTTAAGAACTGATCTCCCAAGAGAGTCCAGGCTTATTAGTGAACTCATTAGCTACGACGTTAGTCATAATGCTCATAAGTTAAGTTTGTACAGTGTGTCTTGGTGTAAAGTTGCCCGTGCTCCTTGCTTCTGTGTGTGTGTGCGTTTATCGAATTTTATTTCACATAAGTGACGCTTCAGGAAACTCAAATTTTCTGGTCAATGCACACAGTCTCCTACATAATTCAGTTTTCCCCGTAACTGGCTCCATTTGTGTGTGTACATCTCACAGTGAGTGTGGTGCTGGCTCTACGCCGTGCTTTAGGCAGACGCTAAGAGACCAGCCTTTACCTCAGCATCTACTCTACACACACATTTTATATAAGGTCTGGAGCTGACAGGAAAGTTCACTAAAGCCTAAGAGAATGCCTGTTAATGTCCAAAATCAGCACACTCTCAAACCTTACACACAAACAGACAAACACACACACACGTGTACACGCTGCCGTATAGGCTTTTGGTTTAGCAGGACAGCACAGACTGCCCCCTCACGTTCTAAAAAAGAGTTCATTTTAGAGGCAAGCTGTGTTTCTGCCAGTTAGCAAAACACCTTCCATCTCAGTGTGTGTGAAATGTCTAATGTGTGATCTGCCCTTGAGCATTTTCTTTATTTAGCACATCTATTGTTGCTTTTCCACTTCGCTGACCACAGATACCTAATGATTTGTTGAGGATAGGTGTGTTGTTACTGTCACATTGGTCAACTAGTTGGCTAGGTAGCGAGGTTGACTAATCTATGTAGCTTTAGGTTTTTCTGTTTACAGCACTGCCACAAAATGTTAGTACTTTATAGCATAATAGTACATATTAATATTATAATTATTTTGTGTGTGTGTGTGTGTGTGTGTGTGTGTGTAGGATGTATATGTATATAGGGCCGTATGAAATCTGTTTTATTTTTTCCCAAATTCCATTTTATTTTTTTCCAAATTCCTTTTTTTGCATTTTAATTTTTCTGGATTCTGTTTTAATGGTTACATTAAAAAAATATTATTTAAAAAGCATGTCTAATTAATTGAAATCATGAAACTTACACAATTAAACAGCAATTTATTGAAACATTTTTAGGGCCCTATGTAATCTACTTTACTTTTTTCAGTTTTATTTTTACCAAATTCTGTGTTTTCCATTAATTTTCTGGGTTCTATTTTAATGGTTTCATTAAATTTTAATAATCCAAAACTTGTCTAATTGATTTTTTAAATTTATTATTTTATTCATTTATATATATTTTTTCTGAAATACTGTATTGTGTATTTTCATTCTTCAGGTTAATAATTTTTCTGGTGAACATTCCTTAAAAATATAATGTTTGTAGAGGAAGTAGTACTATCATTACATTATTTAATATATTTCTGTCACTGTTTCTTCAAGTCAAACCAATCTTTTATTTTGATGGGTTGCGGTGAAGACCTTTAAGTTTCTGTTTGTATGTGATATGGCGATAGTTTTTGTCAAAAGAAATGGTAAAATGCTCATGAAGTGACTCTGAGAAGGTCTAGAGATTGTTTATGTGTTTATGTACTTATATATTGAGGCGGCACAAGTTTGAAAACACTGCCACCGTTATGCGCGCTTCAGTATGTTGAGTAATCCCAAACCAATGGCGCTGTCTCAAACTATACCTACCTTTTCCGGTTTGTCTGATTTGTCGTTGTGTTTTCTGACTTGTTATTTTGTTTTCAAATTTGTCATTGTGTTTTCTGACTTGTTATAATGTATTCTGAATTGTTGTTGTGCTTTCTGAATTGTTATTTTGTTTTTTAGACTTGCATTTGCGTTTGTAATTTGTTATTTTGTTTTCAGAATTGTGATTTGCTTTGCACTTCTCGGACACCATAGTGTAGTAAACAAAACCACGTGTCTGCGCCATAGTCTTTTTGTGGCTTAATATTCACAGACACTGGTCCATATCGCGTTTTCATTTAGGTGTACCAACCTACTTATTCATCCAAAATTTGACAAATTCTGTAACAATCCACAAAAATTCAATTTTTATGACTGATTCCACGATTCCGTTCACATTTTCCACATCACGGAAATCAGAGGGCTGTATGTATATATAGCCTAATGTATAGCTGAATGCATGTGTCTTGAAGTTTACCTTTTACCACTTTACACCCCACTTAATGCATTATCCTCTAATTAGTCTATAAATGTTATTCAAGATTAACCATCATTAAATCAATAATCGTGTGTGTGTGTGAGAGTGTGTGTGTGTGCGCATATAATGGACAAGACCCCAGGAATATGGGGTCAGATTCCCAGCATGCTCGCTCAAGATGCCCTTGAGCTTAATTACACCGAGGCCACCTGTCAGTAGATTAGCTGATCACGGAGCACAGCATTCTGGGTTAAATCAAAGAGCGGGAGTAGCAATCACATGGTTCCGTTCCTCTTAATCGAGCTGATTTCTTCTTCCCTTACTTTCATTACTTGCTCTCCTGCTTCCTCTCCATTTCTACTAACCGCCTCCCAATCACCTTCTCAAGCCTCATGTCCATAGGGGTTCAGATGTTTATTTTCCGAGTAAGTGAGAATTAGTTTTAAACACTCCTTTTATTTACCGTTGTTGAAGAAGACATTTAGCCCCGCCCAAACTCACGCCATTGGTGGATATAGTGTAGATGTCATAACGTGATATAATTTAAATCCATATTACTAAAGTATGTTCCATACAGAATTACTTGATTGAGGTTATAGTAGGGCAGGAAGAATAGGTTCCCATGCACCCGCTTGGCAGTTTTTTGGAACCTGGTTTTTTGGAACCCTAATGGTGTCTAGTTAAGAATTTTTGATGTTGCCGAGGTCAACTAATGTCCCATGGGGTTCGTTTGGTGACCATCTTGAAATTATGTCATCGCGAGTGGCAAAAAACACATATTTTGATAACTCCTGAACCGTACAACATACAAACACAAATGAACCCACTTTTTCATATAATTCTGACATCAGGAATCAAACGGAAAGGTCAGTGACATGGTACAACCACTCTTTATTTTTGAAAAACAGGAAATTACACATTTTTCGGCTCAAAACAATGTAACTTTTGCTATTTTGTTCCGCAATAGTTTTCTGCATTAGCCAAATGACACTAGATTTTCTCTTATTTCAATTGCAAAGTTGTTAAATAGATGTCAATCGCTCCGAGTGACATAGATGGCAATCTGATAATACTAGCTAATTGAAAGCAAAAGTCATCAAAACCCCGTTTCAGTCTCCAGTCATCAGTCTCCACCTCTTCAAACGTGACCCCGCTGGTGGTTTATTATTTTCAATATCTTTGCAATGAAAGTATAATCAAAACAAATCAGTATGTTAAAAATCTAAAATATAACCCAGAAAAAAATCTACACAAATCAAAGTAAAAATTGGCATGAACAGCATCCCAATGCTGCTACATTCTAACTCCTTATTTGCCATAGTAGCTACTCATTGGTTACTTTTAACTGCTACTTACGCATTTCAGATATCCATCGTCACCACTCAGCAAGATACAGCAAAAAGATTTTACATCTGATATGTATTATCTCCCTTTTTTACAACTAGAAATATGTCACTACTGTACATTGATAATATGGGTATATTATAGTACTGTATTATATAGTATTATATAGTACTGTCAAATTAAATTACCTTCTAGATAGCTAGCTAACACTAGGTAATGTTAGATAGATAACATAGCTACTTAATAACAGTGGTGGAAGTATTGTTCAGATCATGTACTTAAGTAAAGTACTAATACCACACTGCAAAAGTAAAACTATGGACTATCACCAAAATGTACTTAAACTATCAAAAGTAAAAGTTCTCATTGTGTTGTAAAATGGTCCCTGTCAGTGTTTTACCATTATACAGTATAAAATGTTTTTGGATTAATATTACTGCTGCATGTGTTGCATTTTACTGCTGTAGATGTTTAAGGTTGAGCTCATTTTAACTACTTTATATACTGTTGGGTAGTTTATTCTACAGAAATGCATCATATTTTATAAGATCATTTGTTTGTAGCGCCACTGTCCTGTGAGAACCACGTATCTCTAAAATGTCAACTTTTCATGAGCTCAGCAAAACAGCCCTGTTTTGAGCTTTGTGACAATTCATTTTCAAGCTAATCCAAGAAGGTTTTAATCAGTTTATTTAGCTTTAGAAGTAGGAGAATTTTCTCAACCCATATAGGAAAACTTCAGCCTTCAGTTTATCTGAAACTTAAATTCACCAAATGTGGAGATACGTGGTTTTCACTGGACGCGTGGGATATGAAAAATTGTAATCCGGTATACTACTATAACTATAGTGAAGTAAAAAGTACCATACTGTATTCGCCCCTGAGATGTAGTGCAACAGAAGTATGAAGTTGCATAAAATGGAAATACTCAAGTACAAGTACCTTGAATTTGTACTTAAGTACAGTACTTGAGTAATGTACTTAGTTACATTTCACCACTGGTTAGTAAGTAGGCTACCAGAAATTACAGATCCATTAAACTAATTTCATGTTAATATTTATCTTTCCTCAATGGCAGAATATATAAAAACAACAAACCATGATGAAAAGGGGAAAGAGGAATGTGATCAGACGTGTCTGAACCCCGTAAGACTTGAAGAACCTCAGACACTTTGATTTTCTGAGATTCAGACAATACACACACAGTGTCCAAAGAGAATGGAAAACTTGAAATCGCATCATATGACCCCTTTAACATGCAGACATCTGTTTTGACATCTCACTAAGAGAAATGCGGGAAAAACTCCTCTCACCTATCCTTTTCATTCTCTTACTTCCCCTCACCCATCTCCCCTCACTCTGCTCACTCAGAATGGTCAATGCCATAATATAGTGTTCTACATGAATGCAAGTGTTATTCACACCATTGGATATCTTTGTTGGGCCAATTGAGTGGACCTTACAACCCCCTCTCAAAAGCCCTACTCCCACTTGTGTATTACACA